TGTTTGTCCGCGGTATGTCTTGTTGCCTAAATAAAAAATTTGTAGAGAAGATACTTTTGCAGAGAAGATAAAAATGTTTTTTCTAATAAAATATAATATCCAAATAATTAAATTATATAATGCTTGATTAGATAGCGCTTATTATCATTATACAGGGTGAAGCAATAATTTTGTCTACCTCGAATATCTCCGCTATTTTTAGAAATATCAAGAAATTGTAATCACAATTCTTGTAGGATAGGAAGAGGACTATAATATGCTAGCAATGTTTTTTCAGTAAGTGGAGGCGCTTCGGAGAAGGTCAGTTCCATTTTTTTAATGACATACTTACTAGACTTTTTATTCTTGCAATAGTGTATGTTGAGACGATCTCAACAATCTATAATAAAAGGTTATTGGGCATTCAATGAAGAAGTAAAATAATGATTTTTACTTTATAAGAGATCTTGAAGTGATGCTCGTTTATATCGATGCAACATTGCAATCTTTGAATTTCTGAAACACGTACACTTCTTAACACTGATTATCGCAAATACGAAATAATTTGTTACTTTACATCTTCTGACATGGTTGGGCTTTCCTGGTACACAATGTTTGTGTACGTCTGATGAAAAATATTTCTTACTATAAATTTTAGAGTTCTAGAAAAACTAATAGATTTTAAACTTTAGTACCAATAGAGATCTTTCTGAAAGTGATCAGTTGATATTAGACTAGCTCCCTTTGCGATTTTGGTGATAAATTTGGTAACAAGTGTGAAAATGAAAATTTCATTTACTGAGCAACTGGATATGTTCTTTATGAAAAAGCTGAACAAAATTCTATAATATACCCGCGAAAATCAGTCTGAAAGTGTTAAGAAGTGTACGTGCTTTAGGATTTCAAAGATTGCAATGTTGTATCGACGTAAACGGACGTCACTTGGAGTACCTCTTAAAAGGTAAAAATAATTATTTTATTCCTTTGTTTATTGTCGAATAATCATTTATTGTAAGTCATTAAGACTTGAGATCATCTCAATATACGCTGTTGCACTAAGAATAAAAAAGTATACCTTGAGATCTCCAAAGTACTTCCACTTACTGAGAAAATATTGCTAGTATATTATGGTCCTCTTGATATCCTACAACATACGTAATTACAATTTTTTCATATTCCTAAAATAGCCAAGATATTTTAGATGGACAAAGTTATTGCCTCACCCAGTATAGAGACAGTATGTAATAAAATGTAACAATATAATTTTATTCTTAATTGATTCGTATCTGAAACATTGTCTTAAAAGCTATCAAGTTACGTTGCACAAGTATTAAGATATGTTATAACTGTAGCAATCCTACCTGTTGATATAAATTAAAACGATAGACAACTATATGTTATAACTGTAGGTAAATATATTAATAACTCACAAAGCTTATTCAGAAATTGGTGCTTTATTTGCTGCACATATTAATATTTAATTTCAAGACTTACAATTTACATATCATCCATCACCAGCCGCGAACTTTAGATTGTGAAGCTGACGTTATTATCCACGTTTTGTATTCTTTCTTCTTAATCTTCACTTGTTTGTGCCTTGGATGCGTTTTGCACAACACATACCATGTCTCATCCTTACATAGAAAATAACAGTCCTTGCAACGCAATTGTAAGCGGCCTTTTGATTTTAAGCCGCATACTGCATTGTACATGGGCGTTACAGGTTGCAAAAGGGAACACGTATTGCAATTTGACCAACTACTCAGTAAATTTAATCTCCTGCTATTGCACATGTAGTGGATTCTGTGAGTCAATACATTTTGCGTGGAGATTGTTAAACTTTTTAGAACCATGGAACTAATTGCTTGATACGTTGATCTCAAAATTAGACCAGCAATCATTTTTACTGTAAGAAAAAATTGATACATGTTAACATAGTGGCACAGGTTTTAAAGATTTATATCTTCTGAATGAAGAAAAATATATAAATATGTTGGTTTTCTTTTTTTAGAATATCACAAGTTTATTGACATAGGTTAAAAAATTTAATTACGACAGAAAATAATACTAATCTTTACGAAACTACCGAACATATTAAAGCGATTCTTTATATTATTAGTGATAGTCCAAAATAAAAACTTGTTCAAAGTGCACTTATGATTATATAATGCTTATTTATTTACGAAATTAGCATAACGTGCCTTAGAAAATTTATATTAGCAAAATTAAACTTAATAAAAAATAACGATGAATTCGTATAAATCTATCAAGTCGCAAATTATATAAAGAGATACACAATTATTATGATATATATAATATTAACATTACCCCACAATTAATATAATTTTCGAGGTTAATGTAACTACGATCAGAGAAAAACCTGAGAGTGGTCATGCCCCCGGCGTTTTAAGGCTCGTCTACACGACAAGGCGTAAGGCGCGGCGCAAGAGCGCAGGTGCAGGCGTTGGAAATAAAGCCTCGTCTACATAGAAGTCGTAAAGTCGTAGTCGTAACAATATTCGACTATGATTGGTCAATTCTTGTGTGTCTGACGAAATTGACCAATCGCAATCGATTATTCTTACGCCTACGCCTGCGTTCATTTTCTGCCACTGGGAGCATAAACTTATATACTGAAAGTCTATAATTTACGTAACGTAAACTATAGAGTTTCAGTATAGTTTATGCTCCCAATGGGAGAAAACGAACGCAAGCTACGACTCTGCGACTCGCATTGTAGACCACGCATTAAGCCTCCGCTACAGGCCTTGTTTACACCGATCGTTTGATACGCGTATGAGGTACTATATTCGTACTAAATTGATTTAGTCCAGCGGTGTAAACGATAGCGTACTGAAC